CGCTATAGGACACAGTACAATTGCTCCGTGGGGTTTCCGGCCGTAAATATTTATGGACGCAGATTGACCGCCTCATTTCGCGTCTGGTCTGCGTAGTGCCTGGTGAGCTCAAACTGTTGACCCTTTGGCTAGCAGCCCAGTGCTTAGCCCACTGCACACACACAATCCATATTTGCTATCTTTTGCAATAAACCCGATTATCAATCCCTTCCCTATTTATAGGATTAGGGTCCCTATAGTATTTCCGCATTTCTCTCTAGAGAGAAATGTTGTAAGGTACCATGGAGTCGGTTATAATGTGTAGCCACCCTATTTAGAATGGAACAAAACATTGCCCAGCCTTATGATCTCCTCACAGTTGTTGCTGTGTTTGCGCCCATTGTTGTATATAAAAGAAGTTAGAGAGATCCCTAATTTAAAATGTTGTCCAGTGCTGTCGAGATGAAGTCATGAGGTAAAATCTTGCCATCATATCCGGGGCCATCCTGGCTGTACTTCTTCCCAGACAGATCGTTTGATCTTTTGGCAGTCCATGGTGCTTTCAGGATTCTTTGTCGGCCCCACAATTCACATGGTCACCAAGGAAGGTTGGTTCGTTCTTTGCTACTTTACAAAGGAGGGAAAAGCTGTGACTAGTGCTGACCCACTTAAGCTTGCATGATGTTGGCAAGAAATGGAAGGTGGGGTGGTGGTGGTTCATGTTTGATGGCTTCTATTTTAAATTTCAAATGCATCAAAGAAGAATTCTTATGCACAAAGAGATGAACCCATGCCTCTGGCTAAGACTTCCAGCTTGGTGTTGAATAGGAGCGATGATGATGGTTGGCGGGAGGCTGGGTAGGGATGGTTGGGTTCTTGGTGGTGGTGGGGTACCCTTGTCTAGTTACAGTTTTGAGGGGAAATGTTTTGTTTTTTCCCATTGAGTGTGATTTTGGCCACTTTGAAAAATATATGGCTTTTATTATGTTAAGGAATTTCCCTTCTATTCTTATTTTGTTGAGTGTTTTTCTCAGAAATGGGTGTTGAAAATACTATGGATTGGGTCAGGCACACTGTAGTCCTCAAAGTAACATCCTTGCTTTTCACTACTTTAAAGAGGTCTTATGCAGCAGATTTACCCAGTTCAACATGCGGTTTGATCCCTTGACTGCTGCGTCCATGAACATTGATTGTGGATCCGAGTAGATGAAATCTTTGACCACTTCCCATCTTTTCTTCATTTATCATGAGATTATGTACTAATCTCATTGTGAGGATTTTGGTTTTCTTTACATTGAGTTGTAGTCCATACTAAAGGCTGCAATCCCGGATATTCATTAGCAAGTGCTTCAAGCCCTCCTCACTTTCAGCAAGCACCACTAGTCTGTCAGTTTGTTGTTCAGTGCTATGATGCTGAAAGGTCTGTCGCTGCTACTTCAAATACCGGCAGGGTCAACAAAGTGAACACGTTTCTGCAAAGCTTCCAGACTAAGAAGAGATTACAAAGAAGGACTAGGCTGTTCAGTGGAATTAGACACTGAAACCTCTATGGAAAGCATGGAAATGTTGTCAGTTACTGACACCCTAATGAATTAGGAGCCAAATAGTGTCAGAGATAGTGCCAGAAGATGAGCTCTTCAGGTCAGAAGGCATGCAAAACGTGACTGAGGAGGAGCTGCCTTCTCAAAGTGGAGTCAACCACCATGACACAGATGTTGTAAAACCTGCAGGCGTAAAGGCTTCATGACCTTAATTTGCTGATGGGGCATTACTCTCAATGAGAAGACATAGCTGCAAACATCAATTAATAATCAGAACTTGGAATGTATGAAGAATGAATATACAAATTTGGAAGTCTTGGAAATGGAAATGGAACACCTAAAGATCGATATCCTAGGTGATGGTCAGCTGAAATGGACTGGCGTTGGCCATTTGGATCATAAAATCAGATGGTTTACTATGGTAGGAATGACACTCTCAGGAGGAGTAGTGCTGCATTCCTCATCAAAAAGGACGTTTCAAGATCTATCTTGAAGTACAATGCTGTCCATGATGAGATAAAATTAAATAGGAAGCTCAATCAATACAACTTTTACTCAAATGCACACACTAACCATTAAAACTAGTGATGAAGAAATTGAAGAATTCTACCAATTTCTTCAGTCTTAACTTGATCAAACATACAGCCAAGATGCATTGACAGCTATTGGTAATTGGAATGCAAAAGTTGGAAACAAAGAGGAAGGGATAGTTGCTGTACAATATGGTCCTGGTGATATAAAAGAACCTGGAGATTGCATAATAGAATTTTGCAAGACAAATTACTTCTTTATCCAAAATACCTTTTTTTCAGCAAATCAAAAGGAGGCTATACGTGTTGAATTCTGCAGGTTGAATACTCAGAAATAAAATTGACTACCTATGTGGGAAGACACAATGGAAAAGCTCAAGTTCAGCAGCTTCCACCAGGCCAGAGATCCCCTGTGGAAGAGACCACTGATTGCGCATGTGTAAGCTCAGGTTGAAGTTGAAATGAAAACAAATTCATGAGTGCCAAAATAGGACCTTGAGAATATCCCACCTGAATTCTGATGACATCTCAAGAACAGATTTGGCACATAAAACACTAATGACAGAAAACCTGATAAGCTGTGGGAGGGCATCAAAAACATCATACACGAAGAAAGAGAAAGGTCATTGAATGACAGGAAAGAAAAGACAAAAGTAGATGTCAGAATAGACTGTGAAAATTGCTCTTTATTTTAGAGTAGCTAAAGCAAATGGAAGAAATGATGACGTCAAAGAGCTGAACAGAACATTTCAAAGGATAGCTTGAGAAGACAAAGTCCAATATTATAATGAAGTATGCGAAGGCATAGAGTTAGAAAACTAACAAAGGACATGCTCAGCCTATCTGAAATAAAAAGAACTCAAGAAAAAATGCAAGCCTGCAGTTGAAATATCGAAAGAGTCTGTGGTCAGAACATTGAATGATAAAGGAAGCACCAACGGAAGACGGAAAGGGCGCACAGAGTCACTGGACCAAAAAGTAGTCAACCGACATTCAACTATTTCGAGAAGTAACGTGTGATCAAGGACAAATGGTACTGAAAGATGGAGTCCAAGTGCACGGGAAACATCAGCTAAAAACAAGGCTCCAGGGTTCCCTATTGGTTTATATAAAGTTGTCAAACTTCACATATGTCCTATAATATGTTATCATTCATGATGATCTCCCTCACCAACTCCATGGCAGTTTAAGTTCCATGTTATGGAGAAGCTTTTACGCATTCTTGGGCTTTCGTACTTTCACTCTATGTCTAACACTTTTCTTCTTTTGCATTTAGGTACTATATCCTCATGACAACCGCTACGTAGATACTGCTTGGTCTTTCTAGTCTTCTCGTTGTTTTTAGGTGCCATCGGGTTGGCTTCGACCATAGCTACCCTATGCACAGCATTGCATGGTCCTGCGCCATCGTCACAATTGTTCCTATGCCCGAGCGCATCGATGCAGCCACTGTGCCAGTCCATCTCGCTCAGGGCCCTCCTCTTTCCACCGCCCTTCCACTATACCAAGCATGATGTCCTTCTCTAGGAACCGGTCTCTTCTGACCATATGTCCAAACTATGCAAGACAAAGTCTTGCCGTCCTTGCCTCTAAGGAGGACTCTGGCCTTACTTCTTCCAGTACAGACTTTAACAGTCCATGGTATTTTCAGTATTCTCCAGCACCACAATTCAAATGCATTGATTCTGCTATAATCTTCCTTATTCAAGGCCCAACTGTACATGCCTATGATACAAGGGAGAATACCCTGGCTTGAGTCAAGTGCACCTTAGTCCTCAAAGCAATAGCCATGCTCTGCAACACTCTAAGAGGTTTTGTGCAGCAGGTTCACCTAATGCA